CCGGGCCTGGCGGGGCGGGGCCTACTGGAAAAGATGGACCGCGCTCTCCTCCGCACGCCCTCCCCTCCCCCTCCCTCCCCGCTTAGTGTCTCCAGAACCCCAGCCTCCTTCAGGGGTCACCCCAGCCCCTCCACAGGGGCGTGTGCTCGCAGAGCGCCCGCCACACCTGCACTGTCACTCAGCCGGGAAGGCGGGGCCTGCCTGGCTCAGGCTCAGCCCCTCGGACCACAGAGGGGTCTCACTGGCGGTGGCCAGGCTGCAGGGCGCTCTTCCGCCCAGAGCAGGGACCGCCCTCGCTGCGGTTCACACAGGACGCGGGGTTTCTCAGGGGGCCCCTCCTGGAGCCAGGACCGGCGCACAGACCCTGTGGGCCGGCTCGCGGGGAGACCCCGGCCACACCCCGCCCACCGGCCGCAGGCCCCGCAAATGCCCCCGGGCACCCGAGACCCCGGCTCCGGCCCTCCAGCTCCTCACTGCCCCCCTCCCGGGGCAGCCAACGGGGCTCCCTCCCTCCTCCGAGAGGGCGGCTCTCGCTGTCCGCCTGCTGACCGGCTGTCCACCGTGCCAGAACCCCCTGACCCAGCCCCTCCCCCAGAGCCTGCCCCACTTCCCATGCACCTGCCCAGAGCGGCCGCTTCTCCAGCCACCCCGTGAGTCTGTCCTCCACCGTGCACCCAGACCTGGGCGGTGACCGGCAGGTACCCGCTCCCGCGCCCCTGCCCTCTGACCCTTGGCCCTCTGGGCAGCGGGAGGAGGAGGGAGGGGCCAGGTGTAGTACCCCAGGCAGCCTCCTGACTGGTGACAGCGCTGGCCGCTGGCCGCAGTGGCGTGGACAGCTGTGCTCCAGCAGGAGGGCGCTCTGCACCGCCTGCCCACCACAGGGCCAGGCTGCTGCCCTCGTGTCCCTCTCCCTTGAGAGAATCCAAACTCCGGACTCCACAGGAAGGGCGCCCCCTCCCCCGTCGTAGGTCCTGGTGGCACTTGGTGTGCCCACAGCCTCGTGCAACCACCCTCCACATCAAGACCTCCACCCCCCCGAAAGACCCCCAAACCACCAAGCAGCCCCTGCCTCCCACTCCTGCCCTGCGCCTGCATTCGGCTCCCACCTCCTGAATGTGCCAGCCCGGCAGGAGGGCGGGGCCTGCCAGGCCTGGTGTGGCTTCCGTAGCCACTCGAGGGACTGGCGCTGCCTGGGGCTCGGGGCGGCCTGGGGCACGGATGCGCCTGGGGCGTTGGTGTGGGCTGGCTCCAAAGCCAAATGCCCCAGCTGTCCCCGGGGGGCCCCGGGGGCCCAGGCGACAGGGTCCCGGGTCGGGGGCCAGCGGAGGAGGCTGCGGCTCACCTTGGCGAGGGCTTCTTCGTTGCCCTCCACCATCTTCCGGAGCTTGATCAGGTGCCACAGCCCCTCGGCGGGCCTGCCGGAGCCGTGGCTGCCCTCCAGCAGCTGCACGGTGGAGGGCAGGTCCTGCAGGGCAGCCAGCTGGCTCTCTATCCTGTCCATGCGGCCCACCACGTGGTCGAAGACGTTGCCGATCCTCTTGGTGGGGCTGAGCATGGGCTGGGCGTCGCCCTCCCGGGGCACGAACGCCACGCCCGCGGTCTGCAGGAAGTCCTCGTCGCCTGTGAGCGCCTTCTTGAGGTCGGCCATGTGGATGTGCTCCAGGATGCCCTGCAGCACCATGTGCAGGGCCTTGAAGTTGATGATGCCGCCCTGCGGGATGGCCATGTTGACCAGCTCCGTGAAGGTGAGTGAGAAGCTCATGCCGCCGCCGGGCGCTGTGCTGCGTTGCGCGCTTCGGAGAGAGCGGCCGGGGGGGCCTGCAGTGCACTCGGGCCACACCGACAGGTCCTCGGCGGCCTGGGGTCAGGGAGAAAATGGCCCTGTGCTGGCCAGAACTCGGGTGAGAGTTGTGGTTGCTAGGACACCACAGAACGTGGACAACAGGGCCTGCTTCCGGGCAGGCACGGGCAGGGGCTGCAGAGGCGGGCGGTGCCAGCCTTTCCGTTCGCGCCCGTTGGCCGTGTCAGACTGTGGCCCGCGTGTGGGCAGCTGGTGGCCAGGCAGCTTGCCCCAGAAGTCTCGAGAGTCAGGAAGGAAAACAGAGCTGTGGGGGTTAACACAGCCCAGGTTTGAGCAGGAGAATGTGGAGAAGAGCCGAAGAGTCGAGCAGACTCTGGGCCCGGCCAAATGCTGCCGGGGCGCCCATTCCCGGAGCAGGGGCGTCTCAGCGCCCCTCTGCCTCCTGCTGTCGGGCATGTCAGCATGGCCTCCCCACGCCCACACCCGCCTCGGCTGGCTTAAAGGCCCTCAGGTGCAGCTAACAGCCACGGACGCCCCTCCCAGCCCCGCTCAGCCTGCAGGCTGGCTGGGGCCCAGCTCTCCCAGCCCCCCGCAGAAGGCCTGAGGCTGCCGAGGGCAGACGCCAGCGCTCAAAGACCTGCCCTCTTCGGGGCCATGGTTTCTGCCCAGGACGCTTTCTCGGCCGCTGTGTGACCTTGTGCAAATGACTTACCCTCTCTGAGTCTTATCTCCCTGCATGCTGAGTGGAAAATTGAACTTCCACATGGGGTTGCTGTGCGTGTGGAAATGCTGCAAGTGCTGC